AACCGAACCTGACTGTTAACCAAAGTCATCACCACTCTTGTTTGGATGCCTGGTGGCTATAAAAGTACATGCAGGTTGTGCCCCCTGGCGTTGTCAAGGGGAACTGCAGGACGCAGAGCCCACCGGCCCCGGGCTCCGGAGCCCCAGCGCCGCACGTGGGAGGAACAGTCGCCTGGCAGCTCACTTCGGTCACACCTAATAAACTCTCAACCCCAACTTTTAAATTATTAGTGAAATTTCAAATGAGTACCATACGTAGTAAAGTGCACTGTGATGTTTTTCTTTAAAAACATTTGGAAATCTATAATTGGTCCATGCACCTTAGTGGGGGTAATGTGTGAGTTGTTTATTAAGCTACAGTTGACCCCTTGAACAACACTGGTTTGAACTGTGTGGGTCCGCTTATATGCGGGCTTTTTAGTAAATATATTGGAAAATTTGGGGGGATTGTCAACAATTTGAAAAACTCACAGATGAACCACAAAGCTGAGAAATATCGAAAAAAATTAAAAGGTATGTCATGAATGCATAAGATATATGTAGATACTGGTCTCTCCTTACATAAGCATAAGGTGAGTGATATGTAATATAAAATTAATAACGTTCATTTTCTAACTGCTTCATAACTTTACTTTCAAAGAATTACATTACTGTACAGTAGACCTCTCTCTCTTGTAATTGGAGAAACTGCCTATCAGCCTATCATCAACAGATAAGTGTTTTTTAAAAAGTGTAACAGTGTGTCCAATACTGTATTATGAATATGCCATAATACTGGGCGCCATAAAATTTTTATATATCGATTCACTCATGAGTATATAGGCTGGGCTACCAAGAAGCAACCGTATGGATGACACTAGGTGACCACAAAGCAATCACATTGCTGCTTCTTTGTTATCAATGCCTGAATCAGTACACCTGTAAATAAATATGAATTTACTTTTCACATTATCTTTTTTTTTTTTTGCATTTGGTAATCACATATCTTTTTTATTAATTGAAATATATTTGGTGTACAATATTATATAATTTACAGGTATACAATATAGTGATTGTTTTTAAAGGTTATACTACATTTATAGTTATTATAAAATATTGGGTATATTTCTCATGTTGTAGCTTATTTTTTACACAATAGTTTGTACCTCTTAATCCCCTACCCCAACCCTTATATGGGGAATTTAAAAAATACAACAAACTAGTGAAGATAACAAAAACCAAGTACTTTTTACATTATCTTTTAATCTTTGACGTCTAGTGTTAGTAAATACATATAACATCTACAGTGTTTTGTATCACGAGACAATTCTGATGTAGGTACTGATGATTCATCTTGTGAACAGACCATGTAAAGTTATGATATCAATAAGTACAGCACAGTACTGTAAGTGTGTTTTCTCTTCCTTATGATTTTCTTAATAATATTTTCTTTTCTCTAGCTCACTTTATTGTAAGAATAGAATATATAGTACATACAGCATACAAAATATGTGTTAATCAACAGTTTATGTTACTGGTAACGCCTCCAGTCAACAGTGCGTTATTAGTGGTTGAGTTTTGGGAGAGTCAAATGTTTCATGTGGATTTTTGACTGCCTGGCGGGGCTGGGGCCCCTAACCACCACATTGTTCAAGGGTGAACTTTACTACAAAACAGAGAAGATTTTTCAGTCCATTATAGTGGCTCAAGTATAGACTTTGGAGTCAAATGGCTCTGGGCTCCCACCGATTGGCTGTGAGGCGTCAGGCAAGTTTCTTAGCTTCTCTGAGCCTCCTTGGTGTCCTCACACGTGTTTGGGCAGCAAGCAGGATGAGTCGCTATCAACCAGCGTGGGTGAGGAGAAGCAGGTCTGGGGAGCACAGGGAGTTCACATTCTGATAGGTTATGTGTGAGTCTTTAGACTTCTGAGCACACACTGCACCTGTCTGGAGAAGTCATTCTCTACATCAATCTCACAGAGACCTAGAGATGATTTTTTTATCACTAAGACTTTACCAAAAATATATATATATATAGATCATAATGGCATCTATCATCTTCTCCCCAAAAAAAGCCAGGGATAATTTTCTAAACTCCTATTACAAGGAGACGGATCCATCAAATTATAATAGGATTTGTTCTAAACGTTTCCTCGCAAAGTTGGGGTTTTTTTGTACCTCAGAATATATTTTCCTAGAGAAATGATTTTATGACTCATGGTTAAACTCTTGGGCCAATCTCAGAAGTGTATCTCATCTATAAAGTAGCAGTATACTTGGAAACAACAAAACAGTAAATGATAACACTGCCAAGGTACTAGGAATTAAACAAAACACACAACTTGATATAGGAGCTTCTGTGTTTCCCCAGTTATGATCTGTGGGCTGAAATAGCCAGAGTTCATCAACCAAACTCTTTCCCCAAGTGATGACAAAGACCCTTCGTTTCACTGAACATCAGCGGAGGGAGGTGGGTCTAGGAATCTGCTTCCAGGCATCAGACCAGACTGGGGTGGGGCAAGTTTGTGGTTGCAAGGAGTCTGGGGACCCTGAGAACTCTCCCAGATGGCAGCCCACGCCTGGAGAGCCATTTGGGGTAGCAAGCTCTATTTTAAGACTCGTTCAGACTCTGATGGGAATCCCTTTACACAGTCCCAAAACAATGGAGCACATGGGGATGTAAATTTTCACTGAGGCAGGACAAAGAAGGAATCTTTAGAATGAGAAGGAAGGATGGGCTGAATGGGGTCACTTGGGCAGCAGCCAGCCTGAGGAGGGGACAGTAAGTGTCTGGAGGGGCCCAGGAGAGCAGGTGAGGCTGGCCGGGAGGTAGGGGAGGAAGCAGGGGACGGGTTGAAGGCACAGAGACAACCTTGGCTTAGCTTCTGGTAGCAGCTTCTGGGATGTCACCAGTGCTTGAGTTATGCCATCAGGTCTGGTTTGAAGAACTACACTTTTCGGTCTTTCCTCCCCAATGTAAATTCCCCCCACTGAATCTTACTGCAGGAAGGGAAGGGAAAGAAGGAAGTGGGGTACTGTGTCACCCTTTAATGTCCCCGTCTCCCTCCTCTTGCCCCCTTTCCTGTGACTGTGTGTTAGTAGGGCTCACTCAGTCCCTGGTCGAGGGTCTCTGACCAGAACCCTCAAACACCAGGGGGCTATCATGGCTTTTATTTCTTTTTCATTCTGTGTTGATGCTCAAATAAAACTAGGTTTAATATTTGTGTCTGCTCATAGATCACACGTCCCACGAGGGCAGGCATTATGTCCTGATGGGGTTCAGAACATGCTACCCCAAAATATGGCAAGTTGGTGTACTGAAGATATTAAGCGGAAGGAGTTTGAGAAACAGCCAGTGCAGGAAGGCCACTCTGATTTCTCCCTTCTTCCCCAAAGCAGCTCATGAGACCCTGTAGGGCTGGAGAACGTTCTCCTCGACCCTCGACCCTCTTAGCATCCCTGGCTGGGTCTGAACATGAAACAGACAATGACAGATTAACAGGAGAAAAGCATACAGATTCATTGAATAGACGTTTCAGGTGACAGGGGAGTCCCATAAGGAGATGGGGACCAGAAAGGCACACCTGGTTCCACGCTCACCACTGTGTCCTGCGTGTGTAGGAACAGACCCCGTTCAGAGTAGTTACAGGAAATACTCAATAAAGGAATGAGTGAACAAGGGCCAACGAGGAGGAGGCTACAGACTCTGAGTGTAAATCCCTTAGAAGAACTCTGCACCCTTTCACTTGGTTTTACAGGTTGACCACACTGGGTGGTTAGTTAAGTGTGATTTCACTTAAAGACGTAAGGTTTTCTGTTTCTGGACAAAGACATCAGAGACGGTCCTCCTGTCCTTCCCCAGTCACGCCAGAGTGGCGGTGGACAGGCAGTCACCGCCACCACATTTCACAGCTCCTGTGTCCCCACCTCTTGAATCTGGACTTGCCTTGTGACTTGCTTTGACCAATAAAATGGGCAGAAGTGGAGTGGACTTGGTCCCGGGAGCCGAGGCCCAGCTTCCCCTGGCCCCTCTAGGATTGCTGTGGCCAGAGGACAGGACGATGGGAGGCCTCCCGCCGGGGTGTGACTCTACCCAAGAGCCTAAAGGACGTGATGATGGACGGGGAAGGGCCGAGGCCACTCCACCCGGACACCAGAGGAACCGCAGCACATCTGCAAAAGATGCAGGTAGATTGGGAGACAGGGTGGTGGGCCCAAAAGGAAGGTCTCTTAATTGCTATTTTCTATTGAACAGGAAGAGTCGGCAGTCAGGCGGGGAGGGAGGGAGATTGTGTTGGAGTTCTGAAGGGAAGTGGGTGTGGACAGCCATCCCAGCGAGTGGGCGCGTTATCTGACCGGGAAAATGTACAGTCGCTCAGCAGCACAGAGGCCTCCTGGATGTTTGTGAGCATTAATTCGAGTAACGAGTCATGTCAGCAGCTGCTTTGTTTTCCTCCAGCCCCCTTCACTTGCTCTGAGCCGTTCCGGAGTCGGTGGAGAGCTGGGGTTTCCCCAAACAAGGAGAAAAGAGGCACAGAGAACCCGGGGTGTTTCGGGGACACGCAGATGAGAAGCTAAAGTGATGGAGCACGGAACCCACGCTGGGTAAGGAGGGACGGGTGAATAGGGGCAGAGGGACGGCAAAAGGCGGGAGTTCTGTTGAAGGTGAACAGTTATGGAATTTTCGGAGCTAGGGTTCGGTCTGTCGCATTCCCTGCCGACCTGCCAGTTGTTAGAACAGCGCCTGATACATAGCAGGTGCCCAACAAAACTGCGTTCCACTGGCGAATGGAATCTCGAATCCGCTTCACTACCCACCGCACCTGCGCACTGAGCCACGCGTGAGGCCAGACCGGGCGCTCTGCGCCTGCGCAACATCTGTCTGCGCGGCGCCTGCGCGGCTCCTGGGTCGCTTCGCTGCACTAGGTTTGAGCCCTACGGGCCCCGGTAGCGCGGCTGCGGCGCTGTACCGGCCTCCTCCTCGGCGTTCCCACGCCAGTTAGGCGGGCTCTCGGCCTCCACGTCAGGGCCGCGCCGCGGAGATGGCGGCTCAGAAGATAAACGAGGGGCTGGAGCACCTGGCCAAAGCAGAGAAATAGTGAGTGAGAGGCCCAGCGCGGCCCTGGGTAGGCGCCTGGACCGGGCCTGTCGGAGGCCGGTCTGAGTCAGCACCGGGTGGGGGGTGCTGGGGCGGGGCGGGGCCGGGCCGGGCCGGGCGGGCGTGGTGGGGCAGCCGCGCCCCGGAAGCGCTGCTGTCGGAGGTCGGAAGTCGCCTTGCCTCGGGCCGTGGGGGCGACGCCGTGGTCGCGGGCACGGCTCTCCGCGTCGGCAGTTGGAATGCCGGTGCTTCCCGGAGCATTGGGCGGCTTCCAGGCCCAGCTATATTTTAAGATCTTTAGCTTTTCCCATGTGTATGTAGCACATAAGACAATTGAGAGATTGTATCTTGTTTTTGGTGGGATTTTTAGAAATTATGTTAGATACAGAATATAATGAGGGCTTTGGGGTAGAGGTGGTGGATTAGAATTTTGCTTTATTGCAGTACTTTCTTAATTGGTGGATTAGAGTAGACGGGTTGCAATTTAAGGATTTTATTTTTCCGAACAATAATGTTTTTGGTAAGCTTGAGAACTGTTTACAAATTTGAATCTTATAACGGTATTAGACAAACACAAATGTTAAATAAATTTAATTGGCAAAAAATTAAAAGGAATAAAATGAAGGGTGTACTTCTGCAGACTCTGGGGCTTCCCTGTCTCTCGGTAAGGTGCTCCCCTGATTCTTTGGAAGGTAACACTGTTACACGTAAGCAGGCTTTCACTGACTGAATTCAAATGTAGAATTTAAGATGGTGTTTATTTAGCGGTTCTCATGCACACCCGAGTTTGACAATGTGAAATTATCATAAAATTTTAAAAAGAGGAGTTTCAGAAAGGGCAAATTAGATAAGGACTCAATTGATTGTCCTTTGGTGCGGTGTCTAAGATGCCGTGTGATCCTGGGATCCTGGAAAGCAGTTTGTTGTGCTTTCCCGTCATCCTGTCTCTGGTTGTCCTTCCTGTTCACTAACTGCAGTCACTAACTGGTGGCTAACCGCAGTCTTTTTTGCTGATTCCCTGTGTCTCTCTGAGTGTTTGGTTCTGTAGTCTTTCTGGCCTCTCTCTCCAGTCTCCCTGCGGGTCTTCACGGGTGTGACAGGTGCTGATGACTGGTAATCTCCGGCCCCTCCTGAGCTGCAGTCTTTATGAGTCCACCTGCTTACTGCTGTGCTTCAGCCTACCTCAAGCTTTAGTGCGTCTCAGGGCTTGTTACACCCTGGATTGCTGCTGCTGCCGCCACTCCCGGGGGTCTGGTTCAGCACGGCTGGGGCTGGGGCTCAGCACTTCATACATTTCTAGCACACTTCTGGGTGATGCTGCTCATCTGGGGATCAGGCCTTGAGAACCTCCACTCCCCTTGGATGCTATACAGGCATTTCAAACGCGGAAACCATGTCTATGACAGTGGGAGGGAAAGTGGTGAGGTTGTTTGTAATTGTAAGTAAGTTTGGATGGAGGTGGGCGAGATGGGGACTGTGTACCTGATGGTCCCCCCCCCCTCCTTTTTTAATGACCTACAGGATCCTTATAAGCAGAGTTCTGACTTAGGAGTGTGGTTGGTAACTTCTGTTAAATGTGTCTCTCTTTCATTTTAGCCTGAAAACTGGTTTTTTAAAATGGAAGCCAGATTATGACAGTGCTGCTTCTGAGTATGGAAAAGCAGGTACGTGTGACTGTAGCCCTGTCCCTGCAGTGTGTAATCTTGAAGCAGGCTGGTAACTTCATCTCGGCATAGTTCTCACTCTTAATGCTTCCTATATAGTATTTGCATTGTTAAACCCTGCGCTTTCCCACTTCCTGTTTTCAGATGTCTTGAGTTCTGAGCTGTAGACCCAGCCGCCTCTCCCTCTCCCACGAGTGCAGATGGCAAGGCAGGTGCCCCTGCAGGCTTTTAGCATCGTTTATATGTTCTTGAACTTCACTCAGTTCATACTACTTCTGGGAGTTTGGTCATATTTTTTACTACCTATTACTGAATAAAGATTTTTCTCGTTGGCTTTTTAAAACCTTAGGCTTATCTTCCGCAGTTCTGCACACCGAGTGTGCTTGGCTCTCGCTCTTGATGACCCTCCTGCGGAGATGCACTGATACGTGTTCGTGAAGAGTTAAGCTCATATGCATGTTTTATTGCCTTTATCTGCATATGAGATAACAACCTGAAATTTGCAACAGAAAGGGAATTTATTAAAAATTTAGCATTTTAAGTTATGGAATGATAGTTTTCAGCATATCCGTGATTATTTTGGATATAAAGCATAATACAGTTTTGAAATACCCTGGACACATTTTACTGTGTGTTTCAGCAGTGGCCCTGATCACATTTGTTAGCCTTGCATAGAAATCACCTAGGAAATGTGCTTTTGGCAAACTTTAGTTTTATATGTCACCCAAGAAGAAAGAAGTCAGTAAATTGAAACTAATAGAAGTCAGATAAATTGGAACTAATAAGCATAATGTAGGATGTATTTTCTAGATAATAAAAGAAATGACAACAAATTAGTCTTTAGCACTTTTATTTAAGTCCTGAGTAAATTCTCTGTTGCATTATGGAAAATACTATACCTCATATTTAGAAGGAAAATTATTAGAAGTTCAAATTTTACATGGATTTTATGGACACCTTGTACAGGAACACCTTTGTAACTGGAGGGCACAACATTTTGCAAGTATCCTCCATGAGGGAAATTTAACACAGAGTTGTTATGTATGTATCTGTGACCATGAGCTGCTTTCAGAAATGAATATTTCAAGTCAGATTTTCCCATTAAAACATCTTTTGTTTATTTTCGTTAAGGGGTTATGCAAGATACATTTCATCAGTAAATTTTTCAAAGAGCAAAATGTAGAAATGCAGGGATGAAAATAGTTTGTCATTTGTTTATTTTCTACATTTTGTTAAATGTAATTTTAAGAGTGTGGGGTTTTTTTTGTTTTGTTTTGTTTTGTTTTTTTTTGCTGTACGCGGGCCTCTCACTGTTGTGGCCTCTCCCGTTGCGGAGCACAGGCTCCGGACGCGCAGGCTCAGCGGCCATGGCTCACGGGCCCAGCCGCTCCGCGGCATGTGGGATCTTCCCGGACCGGGGCACGAGCCCGTGTCCCCTGCATCGGCAGGCGGACTCTCAACCACTGCGCCACCAGGGAAGCCCTAAGAGTGTGTTTTTAACAAACAATGTTTTCTTAAAGCAGTATCCTTTTCATTTATTTGTAAGCAACACTTTGTAAGTTTTCCAAAGCCTGTAAGATCATAGTTAAAGATTGTGCCAAAAAGGAAGATTTATTATAAAAATATTGAGTGTGTTTATTGGACTTCAGTTTCAGAATAATTTAAAAGATAGACTAAGCCATAACTAAAGCACTGTTTCTGTTATTAAATGTGAAACTGGTGAGGTAAGGTGCTGTTTTAGTGACAGTGCCTGTGGTTCGGGTGTGTTGGTTTGACTGATGCCGTCTTAGTTTCCCAAAGCTTAGATGGTGGTGTTAAAAAGACTTGGGCTTGAGTGGAAGGAGCACTGATTTATTGCCAATAGTGTACAATTAAGGAAAAAAAAAACCTTTTGAAAATACTTGTAAGTTACTGATGATCAAAAAAGTTGTAAGAAAATGGCTTAGAAAAAAGTAGTATTTATAGTTTTATGAAATTTCCTAAGTATTTGATTAAAATAAGTGTTACCTCACATGTCATGCACATTTTGGTAAGGATTTATTTGAGGTTTCTTTAAATGATGGAAATAGACAGTCTATATTTTTTTCTCTCTTTCAGCTGTTGCTTTTAAAAATGCCAAACAGTTTGAACAAGCAAAAGACGCCTGCCTGAGAGAAGCTGTTGCCCACGAGAATAACAGGGCGTATCTTTTCAGCCTTTAGAGATTGTTATAAATTTGTTGCATGTGGAGTACAGTGCTATTAAATTAGAAGCCACTTAGAAAAATACTGCGTGTCTAAACTCTGAAAGTGCATTTATAGAGACTTGATCATAAGGTCCACGCTGCTTTGCAGAGCTGCGTTTGAGAGTTTATTTCTGTTGTTTCTGGATTTGCTTGATGATGGTTTTACTTGGGATGAAGTGAGGGAGATATAGAGACAGGTGCTGAAAAATGAAGAGGTGGCACGGGTGTTAGAGCCATGTTAACTGCTCTATAAATACTTTAAAAATGTAGTCTTCCTCCGGTATTTGAAATAAAATTTTTAAGTAGTTTAAAACAAATTTTCCTGAGGTATTTTATAATCTTATCAACTAAAAAATGTTTATTTTACCTCACTTGCAGATTATGGATATAATAACCTTGCATTTTAGTAAAACTTGAAGTTAATACATAATGGAAGTAGCTTAAAAGTCGATGTGTTTTGTCGGTGTTTTTGTGAATCACGTAGTTTTTAGGAGACAGCTACAGGCGATAAACTTTTCTTCTTTTCCTGATTGGTAGGGTTCGTCTTTTCGAACAAACTGGGACAGTGATTTAGTTAACCTTGTTTTTTAAATAGTAGATCTTTAGAAACTATTGATTTGCTTTTTTTTTTCCCTTAATTTTGACTTTGTTATATCTATTCAGTCTTTTTCACGCTGCCAAGTAAGTAAATATTCTCCGTGTGTTCGTGTTTTTGTAGATTATTATGTTTTAAATGTTGCTTTTTCTTAGGTCAGTAAATTTTTCCTAAGTTATAAATTCGGAAATAGTATTAATTTGTATTGATTTAAATAAAATAGTCATTTCCATTTGTTTCAGTCTTCACCCGAACCTTAAAAATGAAGTCACTCCTAAGATAATTCAGTGTTTAAGTTAAATCACCATCATATTTTTAGGACCGTGTTGTTCAATAACCTATGAAAAACAAGTTAGAATCCCTTTTTTCCCCTCTTTCTTAATGGTTAATGGTGCCTGTGGAGAGAAGCAGGCAGCTTTCTTTTGCTTTTGTGGAGAAAAACACTTACTTGTTTCAAAACTTGGATTTAGGTTTGTCAAGTACAATAGAAAGTCATTTAACCTCTCTGACCTTTACTTAACTTTGCAAGTGCAAAGTGAAATCCCTTTACCTCAGATGTCTGTTGTTTCCAAGGCATTATTGCCCACGTAAATAAAAGGAAGAAAAATTATGTTGTGTTGTAATGAGAGCCTAAAGTAAGTATGTGTTGTCTGAGCCAGTTTCAATTGATGGAGCTTCTCATGTCTGTGGTGGAAAGTTTCTCTCCCCCATCTCATCAAGATCTCATCTGAGAACTTATATTCTCTCTGCAGAGCTTATGAACAAGCCGGCATGATGCTGAAGGTCAGTACTGTTGTGTCACAGCTGCTCCGTAGGTAAAATGAGTTATAGTTTGAAGTTCCCATAAGAACAAGACCAGCAAGTTTTGTATCCTAAAGAATTTGTCAACTTAGTGAAGGACAGACTTGAAAACAACCTGTGCAAGGTCAGCACGGAGATACAGTATGTCAACCCTAAATAGATAATGCCTAAAATCTTTACATCTAGCTTTTACATGATTTTTCTTCAGTTTTTTAAAAAAGTTTTGAATTGGAGATATTAGACATAAGGAGCACATGATGCTGAGACTTGGAGTTTACTAATAAGATACGTAGGGTTACTCTGTTGATGGCGCTCAGAGTAAGAGGGCTGCAAGCGCAGGTGAACGCAGGGCTTGCTGAGATGGAGGAGGCCAGCCTGGGCGTGCAGGGAGTGGGGAGAAACACGCCCCAGGAGGAGGCCGGCTGCTGCACAGCCCCGCTCGCCAGTGCCGTGTGGGGCGCAAGCCTGCAGACGCCGTAGCCTATGACATGTTTAAAATATGAAGCCACAGAACAGACCTCCTGTGAAAGTATCTGATTCTAAGATGTGGAGGGTTGAAGCAAGCCATCCTCGGAAATGACTCACAGCCCTTGGGCTGCCAGTTTGCAGCCTTTGGCACAGGCCTTGTATGTAGTAGGAGCTCATAAGTATTCCAGGAATTGTAAATGCTTAGAAAACTGTGACGAGCAAATGTTTTGGTTTCTACTGTAGTTTCCCTGAAACTCTGAAGGGATGAACTCTACAGAAATCAACTGATGCGTTTTTGGTTTAGCTAAACGAAGCTTGATGGAGAGAGTGACCATGTGAACGCATTTCATTTTCAATATGTTTATTATTGTATTATGTTTTGGGTCCTTTGCTTTCTTGAATTTCAGATTGTTAATTCTGTATTTAAGTTGATGCACTTACTGGTCCATGCCGTATCGTTTGCCTAAAGGAGATGCAGAAACTCCCGGAGGCTGTTCAGCTGATTGAGAAAGCTAGCATGATGTACCTGGAGAACGGCACCCCGGACACAGCAGCCATGGCCTTGGAGCGGGCCGGAAAGTGAGTGTGTGGACACAGGTCTCTGCGTGGAAGTCTTTTTGTTTTAATAAAGTCCTTCGAAAAACAAGTTTTCTATTTCTCATGTAAGTCAGATTTTCTTGTCTAATTTAGGCTTATAGAAAATGTGGATCCAGAAAAGGCTGTGCAGTTATATCAGCAGACAGCTAATGTGTTTGAAGTAAGTTTGAATTTTTTTTTCTTTGAGTATATAGAATTGTATGTTCATGATATATAGGAAAACAGAGAAATGCAGTGGCTGCTTTGAAAACTTTTCTGTGCTCACAGCTGAACTCTTATTTTCTTCTGTTAGTAGTGAGATGGCTTAGCAGCTTTGGAGGAATTCCCACCCCCACCCCACCCCCCGATTCAGTGCTACTACCTTTTTTTTTTTTTTTTCCTAAGATTTATTTATTATTTATTTTATTTATTTTTGGCTGCATCAGGTCTTAGTTGTGGTGTGCGGGATCTTTCGTGGCGGCGCGGGCTCTTCGTTGTGGCATGTGGGCTTTCTCTCTCGTTGTGGCATGCAGTCTCCAGGGCGCGTGGGCTCTGTAGTTGTGGCGTGTGGGCTTAGTTGCCCCACGGCTTGTGGGATCTTAGTTCCCTGACCAGGGTTCGAACCCACGTCCCCTGCATTGTAAGGCGGATTCTTTACCACTGGACCACCAGGGAAGTCCCCAGTGCCATTACTTTTTTATCAAAAACTGTTAGGGGAAGAAAAAGATTCCTATATTAAAGCAGCCAACGCTCTCTTCTCTTGGATTCCTGCAGAATGAAGAACGCTTACGACAGGCAGTTGAATTACTAGGAAAGGCCTCCAGGCTGCTGGTGCGAGGGCGCAGGTACGTGTCATAGAGCTGTGCTCCTGTGTCCCTGTGACCTTCTGGCCACAGGGACAGGCTTGTTAATCTTTTGGTGTAACCATGGGCACACCAGGCTACAAGATAGCAGCACGTTGGATTAAATATTGAAAGATCTGCCACTTCTCTAAAGTGTCATCCCAAAATGTATCGTGCGTTGTGCTCTTGTTGGCTAAGACCTCACTCAGCAAGTTGGGAGGGAGCAGTTGTCTTGTTCTATTGTCTGGGTGGGTGGTGATGCCTCTCAGGGACAGGTATCCGTATGAGCTAAGTGACAAGATGCCCTAAGCGCTCACCCAGGAAAATTGACAGGTTCTTGACAGCCAAATAGCGTCATTAGACAGGGTACTGATTTTTTCTCCTTCACACTTAGGACTTATGGCACAAATAGCTGGACCCCAGAAACCTAGAATCCTATGGATTTTCCTTTTGTGTTTTACTTCAATTTAAGCTTAGTAAACAATCTCCCTTATTAATAAAATTCTGCAAAGGAAAATATGTGAGAGTAGATGGAAGAAGACTGTTGAGGGTCAAAGTGGCGAGAAGGACTTTTTCTCGCCTCTCCCTGTCTACTCTCCCCTGCTGCACGTTGTGGCCCCAGGAGCTGTGGGGGCTCATGAAGGCCACGGTGGGCGTGTGAGGGCCCGGTGGGGGTCCTGGTTCCGGGGAGCCAGTGCTCTTGGGGCGTCTGCATGGCCTTTCAGTGAGGGAAAGGGATCCGTGGTGACTGAGTCAGGGCTTGGCTCTGGCACTTCTCACAGATGCTCACAAAGCGGTTTGTTGGACTTGATGGGTGCTCATTAATGGATGGTCCTTACCAGACCTAAAACTCCACATATGAAGCGGCCTGTCCTTGAGTTCTTTCGCTCTGTCTGCTTGGTGTCTAGAAGGGCGAGTCTGACATTTAGAAGGCAAGCCGAGTGAGCAGAGCTTATGGAAACACGGGTTATGGAGCAGTTGTTACAGTGCCTGATGTGGTCTTTATTTCTCTCAAACCTGTAACATCAAGTGCATTATAGGACCTCTGCTGTGGATCACTTAGACCCGCCTTGTTCTGCATTTCTTGTTTTCTCTTCAGGTTTGATGAGGCGGCAGTCTCTATTCAGAAAGAAAAAAATATTTATAAGGAAATTGAGAATTATCCAACTTGTTATAAGGTATGCTTTGAAAGTGCTTATATTTGGCTTTTCCTTAGATCCTTTTTCATATTGGTGTAACTGTGTACCTAAGACCGGGTTCCCTGAATGTTTGTTTATTTTTAAAATAATACCTTATGGGCCTCTATTTTTGGCCAAGATGGAGTAAGCCCACTATCACCTCTCTCCTGATCACAGCTAACACTGCTGGGCAAAACAGAAGGCTGTGCCCCTCGGACCCTGAAAAGTGAGCAGCCAAGAGGGCTGGAGGGCAGGGAGCACAGGACGGCTTTCCTCCCCAAGGGCCCCCCGCCCCATCTTTCTAACCAGAGGGGCTAAGAGCAGAGGCCCCACGTCTCCTGCTCCTTCTCCCTCAGCTCCTCTGCGCTGAGCCCTGGTCGTGGAGTTGCAGCTGGGACGGTGGTGCAGGCGGATGAAACACCGTCTGCCCCAGCCGGAGGAGCTGGGAAGATGGGCTCAGAGAGCCAGGAGAAGAGCCCAGAGAGGAGGGCTAGAAGTGGGCCCTCCCCGCGCCCCCCAGTACGCGCGCGTGTGCGTGTGTGTGTGGCTGTGAGTGGGGGTGCCGCTCCAGCTGCGTGTGCAGGGCACACCCAGAGCAGCGGAGCAGGTGGCTGAACTAAGACTAGAGCCACTGCCCAGAAAGCAGACAGAACATGGAGCCTGAGCCCGAGATCGCGGGACAGTCCTGCAGTGTCCAGGGGACAGTCCCAAGTGACTCAACATAGAACGAGTCAGGAAAGTGTGACCGTTGTCAGGAGGAAGGACCACAGAGGTGACCCGGATGTTGGAGTCACCAGGTCAGGACCAGGAAGCAGCCAGCTGTCACAGCTGCTCCATGTCGCAGAGGTGAACGTGGGTGAAATAATGGACAAAAGGACCGATTTTTATTTTTTTTAATAGAAACTATAAATGAACTAAATGAGAATTTTAGAACTGAAAAAGCAGTGTATGAAATAAAATACCGGATGGGCTTAATCTGAAAACGGAGATGACAAAAGATTAATAAAAGTCGTCTGAAAAAATAGATATAAAAAAGATTGAAAAATACTTCGTGAAGAGCTATTTTGCCGATAAGATCTTACCAGTTGTGTCTGTGGTCTCAGTCCTTTTGTTGGCTTATAAATAGTGTCTATTTCTGTTACATGAAGTTTCCCTTCATTTATCTTTTCCTCGTATCTCTTGAATTCCAAAGTAGAATTGCAGAGTTATGCCCCCCGCTTCTTGTTCCCTTTTCAAGATGAAACCTATATAGGCATTTAGAAGAAATTTTCTGTAAATTGTGCAGTGGCTGTGTTCTGGGGCTTTGTTTCTCCAAGTGTGGCCCTCAGACTGGCGGGACCACGACCACCTAGGAGCCGGTGAGGAGCAGTGGACTCTCAGGCTTCCCCGCCACCAGCTCCGCCGTCTCCAGCAAGACCCCCGGGTGGGGTGTGCGCATTGGAGTTTGAGGTGTGGTGTTCTGGGGTGTTCTCCCCCCAGTGTCCTGTGGAGGTGGCTGCAGAATTCACGAGTCTCTCCAGGTGCAAACCGAGTCAAATTCCAGGTGTCAGGAAATTGACTTCTGCAGGGATATGATCTTAGCCTAATCACCTCTTTTGTTTTAGAAAACAATTGCCCAAGTCTTAGTGCATCTGCACAGAAACGACTACGTGGCTGCAGAGCGCTGCGTCCGGGAGAGCTACAGGTAAGACCTGCCAGTGCACGGCTGCTTCTCCGCCCCAGCTCACTGCCTAGATAGGCAGTCCTGGCTGTGGAACGGGGTTTTTGTTTTCTGTTTTTTTGTTTTTAATAAAGTTCAGAGCAATATGAGTGCGTGGCTAGCATTTCAGCTTCTGTAGCAGGATTTTTATGAGTTGTGCTCTTTCCTGTGTTTTTCTCCTGGGGGCTTCCGTGGAAGTGAGTGACGTGAGTGATTTGTGATACTTGCCATCTAAGAAAAAAATAACAAGAGAAAGAAAAGTCTTCAGGTTGTATGTTACAGGAAGGTCAGGCTATAAGTGGTTTTCTCCTTGGCGATGTTTAAACCGAGCAGCCTGAGGCCGGGCACTCTGGCTCCGGGGCCCGGGGTTCTCCGCTGTCGGCCGTCCGGTGCGGGTGGGTGCGCCGAGGGCTGGGCGCAGATGTGCCGTGTGCTCCCCACAGCATCCCTGGCTTCAATGGCAGTGAGGACTGCACCGCCCTAGAGCAGCTGCTCGAGGGCTACGACCAGCAGGACCAGGACCAGGTGGCCGAGGTCTGCAACTCGCCCCTGTTCAAGTACATGGACAACGACGTGAGTGCCTCCTCTTGGCCCTCCCTCCCTCTCCCGTGTGCGCTCGTAAGGTTTCTCCCTCTGCTGTTCGCCTGGAGCTGCTGCTCAGAGAGGAAGCTCACTACGGGTGCGCGTTGCCTGGCTGGCCAGCTGCCGGGGGGGGGGTTTTGCCGTGGGCGACGCCCGCTCCTCCTCCGTCTGCCGGCCTCCCTCCAGGGTGCTGGGTTAGTGAGTTTCTCTCAGGCTCACGGTCTCAGGGCCCATGGTGCGTGGCCTTTGTGGGTCGGCAGGCGTGTCGGAATCCCACTTCTGAGAGCACCCGCTGTGTGGTGCAGGGTGGTGGCTGACGGTTTGAAGCTCAGTTTACTCATCTGTAAACGTGGGGCAGCTGGTACCCGTCTTGCTGCCTGTGGTGACAAGTGGATGAGTCGGGAGGGGCCCGTCCCCCCACAGTGGGACGCCAGCTGTGACCCAGGCTTGTCTTCTTCCCAGTTGCCCTGTTGAGTAGATTCATGAGCGCCTGCTCATTGGATTTGGTCTGGCGGGTTTAGTCTTGTGATGGTATCAGATCAGTGTAAGACCTTGGTAGGTTTTTTTGTTTTTTTTTTTTAATAAAATGATGTACTTAGAGGAACCAGTGTTTTTCTAGGTAAATTCTGGCATCAGCTTTTGTAAGTTTGTGTTTTCAACGCTGACTCAGCAGATGGTTATTTCGTAAGGACCAGAAGCTCGTGTGTCCAGTTATCTGATTCCTAAGTGTGCCGAAGAATTGAGGCTTTCCTCGTCGTGCCCCTGCCCCACCCTGGTCACAAGCCCCGATGGCTGAGCAGCGTTGGGTTTTGTGGTGGTCTTTCCGTCTGAGTGGTATCCGGGGTTTTAGGGGGCGGAGAGCAGGCTCGTCTCACAGGTGACTCCGGGGAGGCGTCGCGGGTCAGGCCTGAGTGTCCAGTCTGAGCAGTGCTTTGTCGTTGACAGTACGCGAAGCTGGGCCTGAGCCTGCTGGTCCCAGGAGGGGGAGTCAAGAAGAAGGCGGCGGCCCCACCGCAGGCCACGCCCAAAGGCCCCGCCGCCCCCGCCGCTGAGGACGAGGAGGATGAGTATGCAGGGGGGCTGTGCTAGGCGCTTGTCCCCTCACAGACCCCGCACGGCCCGGACTTCGCCGCACGGCCCGGGGCGCGGCCAGACCTCACGCCATCCTGGTTCTGATGCTGGTAAAGACAAAGTCTCAGCTCCCGTTTCCTGGACCACCCGTCCTGCCCACTGCCTGTGAAGCATTTTTTTCTTTCCATGATAAGAGCTCTTCTCAGACACCAGCAGGCATTAACAGAGAAATGTACTGTCGCATTTTAGGACAGTTGACTTTAAATTTGGCAAACCAAATTCTAGACAGATCTATTGTAAACAAAGGTAATAGGCATAGATAGTCTTAGATAGCCTTTTCTCTTGGGCTCTTGTAATTTATTGTTAGAGAAGATTTTTTTGCATTTTATTTAATAATTGCTGTTAAAAGTGATGTTTACTGGTTAAACAAAATAGTATTTTAAACACTTGTTATGCCTTCAGAAGGAAATTTATCCCCCATGATAATCAGAGACATTTAAATTGTTCAATCTTCAGAGGCGAGATTGGGACAGGAAGCTGTTTTGAGCCTTACGATGTTACTTATCTCAATACAAGATGCATCTAAAGTCTCATGTGTAAGTTTGAACGTTTTGCAGGGTGGCACATTACAGTGATTCTGTAAATGTCTTCAGTTGTCTCTGGAATATGGGTATTTTTCCACCTGAAACACATAGTGACAGTCTCTGAACCCACTAGGCTGTTGACTGACTGGGACTAATGAGGACCTTTGTCCTGAGTTCACAGTGTGGTGGTTTCCATCAGGCTGGGGTGCATACGTGGCTTCCCTCTGCGTCGTCCAGGGCTGTGACAGGACAGCAGCTTGACTTGGGATGTGCTGTCTGTAAACCTCCTGCATGTGGCTGAAAGGCGGGGGCTGAGTTTCAAGGGCTGGGCTGCCGCTGTCTAGTGCTTTCTCGGTCTTTCCTGACTGGTCATTTTCGAGGCGTTCCTCTCCCTGTGCTTGGAGCCATCTCCCTGTCCCGATTGGAAAGAGGCCCAGACACTGCAGTGCGCTCTGCAGGAGACGCTGCCCGCCTGGCTTCCCGGGCTCGGATCTGCTGGCCTCCGTGGGATCCTGGGGCGGGTCATCATGAGTGGTCGCAGCCACGCTGGGCTCTGTGGCGGGTGCGGGGAACGTCCTCACGGGGCCTGTGTGCCGGGGTGGTTGGGCAGTGGGATGGACTGTCGGAAGTCTGGTGCAGAACACTAATCCACGCAATCTCTCCGGTCCCCCTGTTGCCTGCGTGGCTCTGCGGGCTGCAGTGCACTTCCAGTCACTGTTTGGAGACACTGAGTGGTGGTCTCAGTAAAGCCATGTTTAGGCGTTTGTGGTTAATGACGTGTTAAGAGTTCTGAGGCCCCGTCTTCCTGCTGTGCCCTCCAGATCCAGTCACACTTCAAGAGTCTTATGCTGATGTGCATTTGAGCTACTTAACAATCCCTGTCAACAGATTTGGCAACACTTAAAAGGTATTTTAGACCATTTCCTGTAGACCATATTATCCATTACAGCTTTGGAGAAAAGCTTTTATTTCTCTTTTCTTACATATTAAACAAAAATGAGGACTGAGTTGAAGGGTCCTGTAGTAGCTGTGCGACTGGGCCTCACAGCATAGGAGGCTTGAGCTGTGGCGTCCTCCACACCAGCCCCTTCCCGGCCTTCATGTCAGAACTCATGTGTGGGGCGTGTGGGTGTTCTCTGACGTCACGGCTGTTCTGCGTGGTGTCTAGTGAGGAGCATCTCATTTTCCCCTCACAGAAGGCTTTATCCTGAGGGGACACTCAGAAGTGGGGAACTGGTGTTCACAGCAGAAAGAGGTGTCTCCAGAGCTCATGTCATCACTTTACCAAAGTGGGTGTCTGTCTGCATGAGCGTGCTCAGGATCCAACCGTCAGTGTTCTGTTGTGTTGTAAGTGAATCAGGCTACAAAGTCTAGTTAATATATCGAATTTATTTGTACATATGCAGAGTATGGTATTTGTGTATGGAAACTGCTTTATTCCTTTTTTTTCCAGCTCTGATGAATAATATTAAATGTGATATGGAAATGCAGGTTATTGCTTCTATAGGAATATAATTATGAAAATAAAATCTGAAACTCTATAAGTATGATCATTCTTTTTATTATTATTCATTTTGCTTGGTTTATTTCCCTTTTTTTCCAAAGATACATCCTCAGCTATTTACATGATCCCAGCTGTGCTGGACAAGAACAATATTTCGTCTGTTCTTGTAAGTTGTGCCTTATGCTGGGAGTCAGTTAAGTCCCTCTGGGGGTTACTTCAAACGCCTGGAGCTTTTTAAGGTGCCAGTCATCCAGCTACTGTCACACTGTGCTCTCTGGCCTTGGTGAGGTGGGAGACTTCAGTACACCTTCCAAGAGAATAATTCTTTCATCTAGTTAAGTGAGATAAAAATACCCAGGAGGTAAGAAAACTGAAATGGCATTGTTTGCATTTATACATAGTTGACACCTTAATTACCAGCGGATTTACTAAAATTAATCACACGTTTATTGAGTGAGTGCTGTGTAATGCTGGCCTGTCCTCTGGGGAATGGGGATCGGTAGTAGGATTTGATACCAGGATTTGGTGGAAGTTGGAGTAAGAGGTGGAGAGAATGCAGGGGACGGAGGGGCTTGGGTGCAGTGCGATTTTGGTTTCCCTCAGGACACCTTGGCGTGTTCTGAGTGGCCTTGTGGTCCCCCTGGCGTTTGTGAAGACGCGTCAGCTGGGAAAGACAACAGAAGCCGTCTCCCTCTGTCTCCCTCTGTCCCCCCCCCCGCCATGTTTTCATTAGGTTGGTATCAAGAAAAGGCTCAGCACCGGCTTTAATTTGATACTAAATCTAAGAACATAAAAAATGTCTTGAAGGAAAAAAGGACTGAGGCAAACATCCCTTTCGAAAAAGGAGAGTAAACCTTTTCCATTTGAGTGTTTTTTTAAATGGTCAGGGGGCCTTTGCCCATGGAAAGAACTTACGTGGCTTTTAATAAGTCAGTGAGTGGTACTGATTAAAATTCCCCTAAATAATTAGCCCCACTTACAAACTAGGTGAACTAAATCCCCTTCGAATTTAAGATAGAACACTTTAAATTATATTTATAACTCTTTTATTTCTGATTCTCCCAAAGCTTTCAAGAGGCCTAAAGAGGGCCGTTTTAAAACTTAGCTTTCAAAATCTCAGTAAGCACTTAGCCAACTTGTACGCGTACAGTAAATCTTGTGTGTATTGTTTGTAAATGTGAATGAATGTGACCTCTGCCAGGGGGCGCCTTGATCTCTCCCGGGCTGCAAGTCTCTGGACGTTGAGTCAGTATTAACAAATACAGAAGCGCTCAACGGAGGTGGTTCTGTTCATTGAAGTTGGCCGGCCCCTCGTCAGGCTCTGTCACTCTGTGTTACCACCGTTTATCTAGCACCTTTCAAACCAAATGGATGTAACATTGCTAAGTCCACGGAAACGTACTGTACCTTACGGAGTGGTTTCACCCACCCTCCACACCTCACTTAGAGGGGCTGAGTGCACCCCACACCTCAGGTTTCAGGAAGCATGTGAGGCCCTGCCCCCCAGGATCCAGCCACGCTGTCTCGGGTGATTCCTGGCCTCCAGGTTTCCAGGTGTCAGAATGTCGGAGCCAAACCATAAAGCTGCTTGAAGCTAAGCTGGGCTCGGGCTGTGATTTCCCAGGGGCGATACACGGGCAGCGTGGTGGTCGGGAGAGAAGGAGAAATCAGAAACAGAGTTGGTTCGACCTGCCCTGTTGGCACTTGGAGCTTGTCCATGACGACCTGGCTCTGCTCCTCCCTAGAGCCCGTTGCCAGCCCCTCCTGGGTGGGCTTCCCGCGTGGAGCAGGGCAGCGGTCTGCCCTGAAGACCTCGGTAGTGAGCACTGTCGCCTGCACGGCCGGTGGAGGATCCATACACCATCAGGCCCTATTCACCCTATGACCATGGGTTGAGTCAGAGCCATGTGGCTCCAGAGAGTGGTGGCTGTGGCCCTGGCCCTGCCCCTCATCCCGCTGGGCCCATGAACAGTGCAGGAGTCGGTCACAGGCACATATTGCTCACTGCAAATTCATGTCAGGATGGGGACCGGGTGACAGAAGTCACTGCATCTCATGGGGGTCAGACTGACCCTGGGCACCCAGAGGAATGTGTCGTCTCTGAGCTGCAGGCATCGTGGTCCAGGAGGTGCACAGACCCCGTTCCCCGAGGGTGTCCATGCGCGACCCACGCCCAACTCCGGCAGCAGTGATGGGCTTGGAGGCGCGCTTCAGCCAGGGCCAGCTTCATGATTTTCGGGGCCCAGGGCAAAATGAAAATGGAGGGCCTTTTGTTCCAAACTCAGGCAGAAAGCCTTCTTCCGCTCCTGTACGTCCCCGCCCTGCCCCGCCTTTGTCTTCAGGGCCAGTCCTTGGGGAGAGCGCCTCATGGGGGCATCGGCCCTGCCAGCATCTTGGCCCAGAGGTTGCCACAGGGGCGGGGGGCGGCGGCAGGTTGGTGGGCAGGGTGGGGGGCCCCCCAACATCCAAGGCTCCAAGCCCCAGCACATCCCCCACCACCCCATAGCACTTCCCTTACAAAACACAAACCCAAAGGCAAAATTCTTAAACTCCAGGTGACCTCAGGGGTGGCCCCTCTGGGTTCTGCGGGCCCTGCGCCACTGCAGAGGTCGCCGGAAGCAGGTTTGTGTGGGCCGGGCCCCACTGCAGGGCAGCCGGCGGACGGCCTGGGTGCAGGTGTAAACGTGCTCCTTCCGCAGCAGCAGTTTCCTGTTTGGATGTGCACCCTACCCTGGACGTGACTCCAGCCTGGGGCAGCTCCCCCAGGCCCTGGGGGTCTAGTTCCGGGCTCCATTGCAGGAGGGTGGATGGATTTGATCCTTCAGCGCAGAAGCCCTCCGGCCTCTCAGACCCTTTACTGCCCAGGGAACAAATGGCGTTTCTCCTGCTGGTACTAAGCTAGCCTCCTTGAATTACTAAGCTGGGAGGCC